CTCATTTTAAGCTCACCTCTGCTTAACCTAGATTATTGCCAAGAAAATAGAAACAGTTTTACTATTTTGATTTAGAGCTTTTATTTATATGATTTCTGGGATAATGTTGGCTCTGTGATGTTTAATAAAATTGATGCAGAGAAAAATAACAGAAGATTTGGAGAAATAATCATTGAAAATGGAGCATCAGTTGAGGCTCATTGAGGAAAGCAGAAAATACTGTTTAGCTGAAATAAATTAATCTAGGGAAATGGTGCACAGGGGTTGGTGGGAAGTCTTCAGGTTAAAAAGGGGGAGGTAAAATCACCCAGAGATAGGAACTCATCTGCTGAGAAGGAAGCTGTTATCACCTTTAAAGCCAGAGGAACAAAGGGAAAGTTTAGATGATTAGAACTGGAACTACAAAGTGGTACTGAGCTCAGGCTTGATCCTCTGAGAAATGGGAGCAGCTTGGCTGGGAGTGGAAGAGTAATGATTCTGATATTTAGAAGTTTTAAAAATGAGAGACTGGAAGCAAGTGCTAAAGACAAAAGTGGCAGTGATGCTGACAGGCACAAGAAACAGAAACCATCAAGTCTTTCCCAGTGACTTATTGATAGAACCTATCAGAAAACCCACTGATAAAAGAGACATGTAATTTGCAAAGTCCCAACCCAAGTATTACAAAACTGGCTAATGAGCTAGGAAACTGGCTCAATCATGTAGAGTGCTTGTTGTGCATACATGAGGATCTGAGTTCAGATCCCCAGGACTCACATTAAAAAAAGCCAGGCACTACACTTAGAGTCCCAGCACTAAGGAAGCAGGCACAAGAGGATCCCTGGAGCTTGCTGGGCAGTTGGTCTAGATGAAGAGGTAAACTTCAGGTCTGTTGAGAAACTGTCTCAAAAAATAAGGTGAAGAGGAATTGAGGAGGACATTCGACATTTACTTCTGGCCTCCACATGCATGTATACACATGTGCACATGTATTTACACACACACAAATATAAACATGTACATACACATACACGACACACAAATAGAAAAATAAATAAAGGGCACCACCAACAGCAATTAAATCAAAGCTTTAAGCAATGGTCATAAAAATTGTTTACTAGCCTAAAAAGGCAACATGATCAAAATACATTCATATCTTAAAAAATTACTGTACTTGAATTTGTTTAACAGTAGGCAAAAACTTGAGTATGGTATGTCATGTTATTTAGTTATCATTTAATCATCTAATCTGGGATCTGTATGGTATTAGTCCAGGTGCTTTGGTTTCAGCAGTGGAAAAATAAGTAACTACTTGTCCTTGTAGAACTTCCACTTTGATGAAGGGGAAAGGACAATAGATATATTGCAGGTTTGTTGGTAACCACAATGGAGAAAATAAGCTGGAATAAAGAGATAGAAACTGTGGGTGGAGGCAGCTCCTTCCTAGGGGCTAGTCCTAGAGTGTCTCAATGAGAAAGTGAAATGTGAGCAAAGACTCAAAAGGTATAGGAAGGGGAAAAGCAAAATGACAATGGCAAAAGATATTTAGTGATAAAGAGTTGTGATTAATAAATGTGAGGTTGAAACTTTTACAAGTCGTAGATTTTTTCCTGGGTTTGTACTTCTTTAATTAGTTGCACAGTTCATTTTTAGGATCCTGTGATTCTAAGTAACTAAAATCTGCTATATTGTCAATTGTGATACCAAGCTCAAACATTCTATAAGATTGTCCATCTTTTCCAGTATGGAAAAATTATGTTCCTTTATGAAAGTTATAGAAACTTGCCAATATTAAAGGGAACTACTAATGTCTAACCAGTACTATAAAATAAGTCCTTGATTACAAAACTTCACTTGTTTAAACTTTTGAGTAGATGTACAATGCCTATCAATGTGCATACTTACTTTTTTGTTAATATGACAATCTTTGTCGTTAAGAGTTGATGAACTCTGGTAATTGACAGTCTTTAAAACTGAAAGTGGGCTAAACCCCAGAATCCAACCTGAAACAAGTTATTGTTGGTATTAGGATTGTGCTGTCTTTTCTTCTGATATGCTTTCCTATAAAGTAAATACATATTTCAATATTTAACCATGTCAAAATTTTAATAAATTCGCTGTAATTAAGCATTTCTCCAATCAGATTATTAATAAATGTGAACTTACATGTAAAGTTACACAACTAAAACTTGCACAAACCCAGGTAACATTCTCAAGCTAAAGGCTTAAAAAAATGAAGACTAATTCTAGTCCTTGGAAAACATGGGTTTTACTTATATAGACTGTCGTAAGGAGAATGTAATTTCAGACTAGACATTTAGAAAGTAGAATTAACTGCCTTAGTAAATTTCTTTTTAACATAAAGAGGAATTTTGAGGTGTCAGCGGAGCCCACTAGAAGGCAAGAAGTCAGTTCTGGGCAGAAAAACAGTGCACTTGGCTGGCGGGGTTTGCAGAGTCTTAACCTCTGTGCCTAGGTTCCCTCAGCTGTCAAGCAGGGATAATAGTAATTGCCACTTTCCCTGAGATGAGACCCATGTGCTTTGACATCTCTGGCTGAAGATGCCATATCAACACAAATTATTATTATTAGCACATAATGCATGTACGCACATAAACACCATCATGGTGATCTTTTACTCATTATATCACGTCTATAAATACTGTTCTTCCATGGTCTCTCTTCACATCAGGAGAGAATATAATCACAGCATGCCACTATGCAAGGTCTCCACATATGGAGGAAATAGTTTAAAAGCTCTGCCATATCATCCATCCGAGATATACTAAACCTGCTAATCCCTTATGGTCTTTGTAGCAAATTGCATGATAGCCCCCATATTAAGCCTTTGGCACCTTTTAAAATGTTGGCTTAATTACTTTTCCTGGAGATTAGAACCACCAGGGAGGGGCAGGGGGAATGAAATTGGCTAGCAATATTAAAATTTTGGTTGTTTAACGTTTAACTGAGTCTCAACAACTGTTAAAGTGCTATCTAAACAGATAATTAGCTAGTAGTTGCAGCAGTGGGCTCTCTCTAAATTTAGCAGTGAAATTAGATTTAGGGAATGTGAAAACAGGGAAAGAAATGTTCTCAAGGGACGCTGTGGTGTCAGTACAGCTGAGGAATCTCACAATAGCTATATTTTGTCAGTTATAAGCATCATCAGGGGATCACCCTGAGCAATGCAAGACAAGGTTTGTTCATAAGTGCATTTTAAGGCTAGGTGACAGGAAGCAGTGGCTGCAGGAGGCAGGCTTACAGGTATGACATGGGGAGGCAGACCAAGGAAGGGAGAAAGAGGATTTGGGTGGAGGAAAAGGGTCCTGTTAGACTTTGCGTTTGGAGACAGGATGCTAGGCGAGGAGAAAGGTAAAAAAGACAGGCAGGGAGGGATAGGATGGTGGGTGGTCTTGGAGGTGAGTAAATCATCATAAACTGGTGGGTGAAGGTGGTGGGACCCTAGTGATTGAAAACCAGAGCACAGGGCGGTCTTGTCGCTAAGGCAATCTTTAGTTTAGCTGCCACAGGCTCTTGGAGTGGCTGATCCTTGTTCGCCTTATTAAAGCACATTCGTAGCTATCTGGTGGAGATGACAGGACCGACATAAAATTAATGGTGTCAGGCCTCAGGACTTGTGTCCTCCGCCTCCACCGCCCCCGTGGACAGTCCAAACTGTCCATCCTCCCTCTCCCCCCCTCCCCAGAATCCAGGGACCAGAGCTTCAAGGTCAAGCCACTCCGCTTGTTCCTTGGCGGGTGTACGAAGAGAGCAGGCAGGACAGTCACCCGGGACGGCGGGGGGGGGGTGGGTTATAGTGAATTACAGACACTTCTCTTAAGGGCAAATGTTTAATACTTCCAGGGGCCACTTTTCTGAGACGAGACCAAAGAGAAATAAGCAAGAAAAATCAAATTACACGTGCGAACATGCAAACGATCAAAGAAAAACCACGACCGGACTCGAAGCCCTCGGGATGGGAGAAATCCACAGCCTCCTGTTGCCGGTCGCCTGGCGCAGAAAGTGGACAGCCAACCCGGCGACCCGAGAGACGCCAGAGCCAGAGAGCAAAGCTTCTGGGGCCCCTGTCCTCGCCCAGCTCCGCTTCACTCTTCCACCAAGCCGCCCTCCCAAAGAAAGGAGCAGGCGGAGCTCCCGGGCCAGCTTGCCTCAGCGAGCGGGGGTATGGGGCCGGACGGAGGGAGGGAGGAGGGATGCGAGAGCCGGCCGTCCCGGAGGAGGGAGGAGGACCAAGAGTCTGCTTTCAGTCCCCAGAGCCCGGGCAAGGAGGGAGCCCTCTGGTCCGCTGATGCATCCATACCGCAACCTTTAGCTAGGGCCACGGAATGCTGGGCAGCTCCATCCCGCCAACCCGCACCTCCC